TTCCTTGTTCTCCCTCTCTTTTCTTGATCCAGCTAGGATCTCCCACTCTCTTTTCCTCGACGCTCGCCCTTCATTGCTCCCACTCATGGCTCAGCCGTTAAAGGCTAGGCTCACAACCAAAAATATAAGAGCTGAAGAAACATTTTATTTCCTGCCCCAGGGGTATGGATTAAATACCACAAAGAAGAAGGGAATAATCACAGTGCTGACCACAGCCTGACACTCTAATGCTAAATATTCACTTTTTTTGAGACAGGGTCTCACTGTACATCCTAGGCTAGCTTGGAACTTGCTATGCAGACCAGGATGGCCTCAAACTCACACTCTCTACATCTCTCTCCCTCCTCAGTCTTGGCATTAAAGGTGTGCACAACCACACTCAGCCAACTTTTGTTTTTTGAACCTTGTGAAGAGTAAGGGAAAGAGCATCATCAACTGTCAGTGACTTGGTTCACCCTGACTCAGAACATGGCTTCCAGGCACCCTCTCCACCCACTCTTCCCATCCTACAGATTCAGAGCTGAGCCAGCCACCAGTGAGACAGGAGCAGAGCAAGCTGGGAGCAGAGCTCTGGACTGCTTGTCCCCATCTGTGGGGAATTCTCTCCTCCAATTTGGAGAAAATCATGTGAGCACAGTCTGAAGCCCTGGGTGTTCCTTCTAGGTCATGGAGGTCATAAAAAGAAAATGGAGAGAGGGTACGGGAAGGCTTGTGTGAGTGACAGAAAGAAATCATGCCTTTAAGGCTCTCCCTCCCTTGGGAAGTCCCTCATACAACCTGAGGCCTTCCAAGGCTGGCAGAACCTCCTGCTCATATTCCAAGCTCTATCTCTATCAGCCAGGAGAACTCAGAGAAGCAGGAGAAGATTAGACATATGGATGGAGCAGGACACTGGGAGATGATTGAGTTATCTTCCACCAAACAGTGTCTATTAGTGTTTGCCTGCACGAAATAATCCCAGAGGACAAAGAGCTGCCTTTTCTATACTTACACCTCTGCTATCACTTTAGGGCTCTTGACCTCCCTAGGAGGTCTCAGAACCATCAATTAGCTGGCCTTTCCTACCTCTCCACCTATGCTGAGCACACTGATTCTCAGGAGGGGATGCCCAGGTGACCTACCTCAGACATGGCTCTCAGAAGCTGACTGTCAGCATCCTCTCAGCCTACAATCCATCATTGTCCCCTGTCAGCTCCAACAGCAGGTCAAATTCAAACCCAGTCTACAACCTTCCCAGGATTCCTGGTCCAGTCTGGCATGGAGTTCTTGAGCAAATCTTCAGGTGTTCATCTCTCTGTGAGACTCTCATGGTTTCCTCAGCCAGGCCCTGCCTGAGTCCTAAAGGGTCTTTCTCAAGGCCATGTTGATGGTGAGTATCTAAGACCTGGGCAAAGTCTGATGTGCCTGGGTTCAGTTACACCAACCTCTCTCCTCAGATCTAAGTGAGGCATCCTGATTTATTGCTGTTTTTCCACACATTAATGTGTGTCCTTTACTGAATGCTTGAACCACAATATGGGGACCACAACCTTGAGTCATACAAGACTGACAACCCTATGTGTAAAGTAGGATTAGCTCCACCCACGACCCAGGATGCTGGAGTCCATGTCCAGTGGGCTTCTGTGCCACAGGGTGGAGGTGTAAAGTCAGTGAAGAATGAAAAGTTGGACCACCAGTTGCCTTTCAAAGTGATGGTCCCAACTAGCTCAGGCCATCTTTATTATACAAGTTCTAATGTATTCAAGCATGAGCAATTTCTAATCATTTCTCTTTAATCATTTCCCAAGAATCATTCACGTTCATTCATTTTAGTTTCTCTTCTTCATCCCACTCCCTTGATGTCATTGGCCTTTACCCCCTATCTTTAGAGTGCAAGCCAAATGATTGTATCTTCTTCATAGTGTGCCCTAGCCAGCAACAAACACGCTAGTACAAAGTAAGAGATTTAAGCCCTGTGATTAGTTCTTAACAATAGGATACTTTCCTATTTTTGTAACCAGCTGAGTGTATTGTTACGTCTAGGATATCATGTTCAGGTGTTTGCCAATTTCTAAGTAATCTGTATATACCTTTCATGTGGACTACAGTTATAATCCTATTCTTTATAAGTCCTCAAAAGAGGAATGATTAGTATCTAACTCTTTAACTGCTGGGACTATATATCTATTCTTCCTGGCAATTTCCACATGTGCTTTTCTTTTAAGGGAACTGGGAGTTTTAGATACCTTTACTGATTTTTTGACATTAGAAAAATATCTGAGTTTTCATGTCCTGGCGCCAGAGATATGTCTGACCTTTCATGATCTCTACCTTTTCCTAATATGTTCCTAAAAAATTTTAAGGTCACCTTTAAAAACCCGTTTTTCAAGTTCTTAAGTTCTTTGGAGTATGTTTACCCCTTTCTGGAGTTGAATAAGCAAAACTCATTGAACTTAGTGAGTTCCTCCTGTTCACTCAGGATGACTCCAAAGGCATCCAGAGGCCACCAGAGACAATCTTTGTGTAACAGATCAGCTTTGTTTCCGGAAATCACATTCAAAATCACAATTAACAAAGCAAAACTAAGATATACCACAAGAAGAAGCATAGCTCAAAGTTAGAGAGGCCTGAAGCCCATCAGCTCCCTAGGATCAGCACAGAGGAATGCAGTATTGTTTCTATAGGTCTTTCTAAATGGATTGGATTCTCTAAAGTGCCTTGCCTTCTAAAGAGCTCCATTTGAAAAACATTTATGTGCCTTTCCCAAGGGTGACAGAGTGGCTTCAGCCACCAGAAGCTACAGGGAATTACTTAGGGTGAACCTTAAACTGCACAGATACCTTCTCTTCATCAAAGTTTTCCATAGTCACACGAAGCAAATAGACTCCTGCATCTTTCTGAGTAACATTCTGGAAGAACAAGGATCCTCTGGGGTATAGTGTCTCTCTGCCGCTGTATACAGGCCCTCGTTCTAGTTTACGTCTGGGTATTACCAATCGCGCAATTTCATTCCTCTGATCAACATTTTTCCCCTTGTACCAGTGAAAAAATGGGACTATTGCTGGCAGATTGTGGACAAGTAGAAGCACGTTGTTTCCTTCTACAATGTGGGGTGGAACTACTTCCACAGTGACTTGGGCAGTGGTGGGGGAGGTCCCGTAGGTTACAAGTGAGGCTAAGAGAGAAGAGAGAAAAGTCTATCAAAAGACTGTCAGCAAGCTCCCAGCCCACAATCCATCATTGTTCCCTCTGAGCTCCAACAGCAGGTCAAATTCAAACCCAGTCTACAATCTTCCCAGGATTCCTGGTCCAGTCTGGCATGGAGTTCTTGAGCAAATCTTCAGGTGCTCATCTCTCTGTGAGACTCTCATGGTTTCCTCAGCCAGGCCCTTCCTGAGTCCTAAAGGATCTTTCTCAAGGCCATGTTTATGATGAGCACCTAAGACCCTGGTCAGAGTCTGACATGCCTGGGCTCAGTTACCTCACCCCCTCTTCTCTGAGGGTGGATTGAAGTGCGGCATCCTGATTTATTGCTGCTTTTTTCCACATTTTAGTGTGTGTCCTTTACTGAATGCTTGATCCACCATATGGGGACCTTAACACAGAGTCATCCAGTACTGACAACCCTATGTGTGAAGTAGAATTAGCTCCACCCAGGACCCAGAGGTTACAGAGAATTACTTACGGTGTACCTGAAACTGCACATATGCCTTCTCTTCATCAAAGTTTTCCATAGTCACACGTAGCAAATAGACTCCTGTATCTTTCCGAGTGACATTCAGGAAGAGCAAGGATCCATTGGGGAATATTATCTCTCTGCCGCTGTACACAGTCCCAGGTTCTATTTTACCTCTGGATATTACCAATCGTGCAATTTCCTTCCTCTGATCAACATTTTTCCCCTTGTACCCGTGAAAAAATGGGGCTGTCACTGACAGATTGTGGACAAGTAGAAGGACATTGTCCCCTTCAGCAACGTGTGATGGAACTGCTTCCACAGTGACTTGGGCAGTAGTGGGAGAGGTCCAGTAGGGTACAAGTGAGGCTAAGAGGGAAGAGAGAAAGGTCTTCCAATATTAGGACTTTTCATTTGGTAGAAATTTGAGCCCTGAGTGCCTTCAACTCTCAGCCTTGGTGTGTGTGTGTGTGTGTGTGTGTGTGTGTGTGTGTGTGTGTGTGTGTGTGTGTGTCCTATTGGGGTGAGGTCAGCAGCATCACCCCCATTCATCAGTACCCATAAATCTTAGAATGTATGACACTGTCTTCTTGGTATCTACACAGCTCACCCGTCACTGCCCTCAGATCCCTGCTCACACTCAGAATCTACGGTGAGTGTCGGCATGTCTTGTCTGACCTCCTCCTCTAAAGACTCTGTGCCTTCATTTTCTGACCTGTCCCATGCTCTGTTTCTTCTGAAGTGCTTGTCAGCCCCTGAGCCCACCTTCTAGATTTCCTTGCTGCTCTATCTTCCTGCCCAGTAGTAGGAGGGCTTTTGAAGAGGACTTGTTCTTTTTGGTTTTCATTTCTCTACCAAAAACAGGTTCAGCTACCTGTGAGCAAATGAGTTCCCCAAAGCCTGGGTTTTTGCAAATATCTCTGGTCCTATGCAATGAGGCTGTTGTTTACTGGCCTCGGTTTGAGTTTTACTTGGAGAGTCACCCTGACAGAGGTGTGAACGTCAGTCTTCAGGTTACAGTGGCCAGTGCTGATAAACTTACAATGAGAAATAACTGAGGACAGGACCCCATCCAGTCTCTGAGCTCCCCAACTCTCTACTCCCGAGGAATGTCTCCTCACCTGTGAGCAGGAGTCCCCTCCAGAAGACCTGTGCTTTGTGGAGAGGGGATGAGGTGAACTCCATAGTCTCTACTGTGGGCTAGGCTCTTCCTCTGGAGAGGAGGTTTGACTCTGAAGCTGCTGCCAAGCTGGGCTCCTCTGGTGTCTGCTCTGCTTTTCTTCCCAGACCTCAGCCTCCTCCCAGAGGAGGGCACTTCCTGGAGTCAGATGGGCTGGGGGTGGAGTTTGTATATGCACATTGGCCTGTTCTTCTGTGAGTGCTGCCTCCCATCTCTCTATTCCTTTCTGGTTCAGTGTTCTAGAACATACTTTGAGCCTCAAGACTGAGAAATGTCTGTACCCCAAGAGAACAAGAGACCACTCCAAAGCTTTGTCCCTGAACTTCCTATAGACAAGAGTGTATTTCCTTGTGACACACACCAAAAAAAAAACAGCAGAGCCCAGTCTGCCCTGTAATCTCAATGCTCAGGGAAGGTGGGATTTACTCCTGGCATGGAGCAGCTGTCTTCTCTAGGAACTGAGTGATGGCTGGGGAGGGCCCAGATCCATCAACACTGGTGTTACCAGTCAGGTGTCTGTCAAGGGTTACACACTATCTCAAGGGTTCATATCCTGGTGTGCAGGAGGAGCTGTGTGTCCTAGGAAGAGGACCCTGTGCTCCAGCTTCTTACGGAGGGCACCAGGGAGACCCCTCCACCCCCAGTTTCCTGTGCTGGTTGAATGTGATTCAGGTCTGCCCATGCCCTCCCTCATCTTTCTAGGATGCCTTTGCTCTCCCAGGTGATTGCCCTGTGATCTCCCCGTCTTTCCTCATGGATGATGATAGGAGGGAGGGGACTACATAAGGTCACCTTGCAGAATATGGTCTCGGAGACACAGGAAATGATTATGTGAGGGAGCTCCAAGTCTGTTGGAACTGGGTGGAAACAAAGCTGCAAGGCAGGTTCACATCTTAGGGAGTTTTCCCTGTTGAAATGTGGTTTCTTGTTTACCCCTGGTGTTCATGAGGAGACCTGCAGCTCATGTTTAGGCTGCCTAAAGGATGGTAGCCAAGCTCCAAAGGCTGTAATGAAGCTGAGGACCAAGTTTTCCAGGAAGGTCCCAGTGAGCAGCTGCCTTTGAGGATCTAGGTAGATTTTTGCTGCAGACTAGAATAGCTGAGGTTAGGCGAGACTCACTGACATTTTGGTCTGCAGTTCCATGAAGACTGATGATGTTAAGCCCCCTTTCCCATGTGTGTTTATTAGCTTTTTGTACATCTAGTTCAGGGCAGGAATTTTGCTCACTCTAAAATAGTTTTATTCTGACTTTAAATTTTAAAGCAAAGTACATTCATTCACTAACAATAACACATTCTAGACTTACAACATAAAATGAAAACCAAACCAAACCCTGCAAACTTCTCAGTGTTGATAATTTCTGGTGTGTTAGTCTTTGAGATTCAGGGCCAGTATGTCGGCATTCCCTGGAATTTTCAAAACTTCTCCAGCTATGATGATTTAAGCATACTTTGGACAGCTTTCACAATCTATAATTGTTATAGCTGGATTTCTTGTTTAAAGAATAATGCACCTGCCAGGCAGTGGTGGCACACGCTTTTAATTCCAGCACTAAGGAGGCAGAGCCAGGTGTATCTCTGTGAGTTCAAGGCCAGCCTGGGCTACAGAGCAAGACCCAGGACAGGCACCAAAACAACACAGAGAAACCCTGTCTCAAAAAAAATGAATGCACCCTAAGTTGGTAGTACTTACAAGAACTGCATTGTACTGAGACACTTAAAAGATGAAAAACATAACTTCAAATTTGGACTCCCAGTAAGGTGGCAGCACAGAGTTACATTAGATGTTGCTTTTTAAGGATATGTTTTACATCAAAACCATTTTCTATGTTCAGAGAGCATTCAGAGGACCCACACAAAGTACAGTATGTATGTGAACTCATTAGGAAGCATTTTGTCTCTTTAAAATTACCCTTTCATGTTCCTCTTCCTATATGTTGTACCATGCATCTGCATATTTAATTACATGTGTACATGCATACATTATATAGGCTAGGATCCACACACAAGAAAGAATATGTGGTTTTTCCCTTGAGATTGAGTGATCTCATTTAACAGTATACTTTCTAAGTCTATCTACTTTCCTGTAAATTTTGTGATTTCATTTTTCTCTAGGATGAATAAATTTCATTTGGTATATGCACTAGACTTGCATCATGCATTAATATGCTGATGGACATCTAGATTGGTTCCATCTCCTTGCCATTTTGAATAGAGCAGCAGTAATCATGGGTGCCAATATCTCTATGGTAGGGTACAGGATCTCTGGGTATATTCCCAGTGAAATAGCTGAGTCGTGTGGTATTTCTAATGTTTTGAGGGACTTCTACAAGCTCTATATAATGACTGTATTAATTTTCACACCCACCAGCAGAAAATATGTGTTCCTCTTTCTCCACATCCTCTGCAACATTTGTTGTCAGTTATTTGGACTATAGTTATTCTACCTGGGGTGAGCTGGCATCTCACAGTAGATTTAATTTGCATTTCCCTGATGCCTAGGGATCACTTTTTTCCTGAGTTGTATTAGTTATTTATTCTAAACACAAAAGTTGTACTGTATATATGATTTACAAATATGTTTTTCTGTTCTGTAGGTTGTCATTTCAGTTTGCAGTTTTAATTCATAAACTTACTGTCTTAGGGTTACTATTGCTGCGATGAAACACCATGATCAAAAGAAAATTGGGGCAAGAAAGGGTTTATTTACCTTACCCTTCTATATCACTGTTCATCACTGAAGGAAGTCAGGACAGGAATTCAAACAGAGCAGGAACCTGGAGGCAGGAGCTGATGCAGAGGCCAAGGAGGAGTGCTGCTTACTGGCTTGCTCCTCATGGCTTGCTCAGGCTATTTTCCTATAGAACCCAGGACCACTGGCCCAGGAATGGCTTCACACCCACAATGGGCTTGGCCCTCCTCCATTAATCATTTATTAAGAAAATGCTCTTCAGGCTTGCCTACAGCCCAATCTTTTAGTTGTTGTTGTTGTTGTTGTTGTTGTTGTTGTTGTTGTTGTTGTTTTTATTTATTTCACATACCAACCACAGTTTCCCCTCCTCCCTCACTTCCCATTCCCTCCCCCTACCTCCCATCCTCCCTCCCACATATCCCCTCCTCCTCCATTCAAAAATGGACAGGACTCCCATTGGAGTCAACAAAGCATGACATATCAAGTTGAAGCAGGACTTAGTTCCTCCCCCTGCTTCAAGGCTGTGCACGGTATCCTGGCATGGGGAATAGGTTCTAAAAAGCCAGCTGAAGCACCAGGGACACCTGATCCCACTGCTAGAGGCCCCACAAACAGACAGAGCTACACAACTGTCACCTACATGCAGAGGGCCTAGGTCTGTCCCAGGCAGGCTCCCTAACTATTAACCCAAGTCTGTGAGCTCCCCCTAGCTTGTTTCAGGTGTCTCTGTGGGTTTTTCCACCACGATCTTGACCTCCCCTGCTCATACAGTCTCCCTTCGATCTCTTCAACTGGACTCCTGTAGTTTGGCCCAGCCCTCGACTGTGGATCTCTGCATCTCTTTCCATCATTTACTAGATGCAGGCTCTCTGATGACAACTAGGGTAGTCACCACTCTGATTACAGGAGAAGGCCAGTTCAGGCTCCCTCTCCACTATTACTAGTGCCTTAGCTGGGGTCATCTTTGTGGATTCCTGGGAGTTTCCCTTGCACCAGGTTTCTCTATAACCCCTAATTGGTCCATTTATCAAGATATCTTTCATTACTCTCCCCTTCTTCCCATCCCAGCTCAACCAATCTGATCACTCATGCTCCCATCCCTCCATCTCCCATCTCCTCCCTACTTGTCCCCCTACCCCCACTCCCAGTTTACCTAGGAGATCTCATATATTTCCCCTTTCCAGGGAAATCCATGTGTCCCTCTTATGGTCCTTTTTGTTACCTAGCTTCTCTGGGGCTGTGGATTGTAGTCTGGTTATTCTGTGCTTTACATCTAATATCCACTTATGAATGAGTACATACCATGTTTGTCTTTCAGGGAGTGGGTTACTTTACTCAGGATGATTTTTTTCTACTTACATCCATTTGCCTGTAATTTAAGCTTTAGTGGTGTTTCTCTTACATTTGTGAGTGCCCTTGTATTTGGGGCATAAGTGTTCAGAATTGAAACTTCATCTTAGTGGATCTTTCCTGTGATGAGAATGTAATGTCCTTTTCTATCTCTTGATTGATTTTAGTTTGAAGTCTATTTTGTTGGGTGTTAGGATGGCTACACCAGCTTGCTTCTTAAGTCCATTTGATTGGAAAGACTTTTCCCAGCCTTTTACTCTGAGGTAGTGTCTGTCTTTGAACTTGAGGTGTGTTTCTTGTATGCAGCAGAAAGATGGGTCCTGCTTTCATATCCATTCTGTTAGCCTGTGTTTTTTATAGGTGAATTAATCCATTAATATTAAGGGTTATTAATGACCAGTGATTGTTCATTCCTGTTATCTTTTGGTAGTAGTGTATGTGTATTTCTCTCTTCTTTGGGATTTGCTGCTGTGAAGAAATCTATTGCCTGTGTTGTTGTGGGTGTACCTGACTTCCTTAGGTTGGAATTTTCCTTCTAGTGTTTTCTGTAGGGCTGGACTTGTAGATAGAAATTGTTCAAATCTAGTTTTGTCTTGGAATGTCTTGTTCACTCCATCTATGGTGACTGAAAGTTTTGCTGGGTATATTAGGTAGGCTGGCATCCATGGTCTCTTAGTATCTGCATTACATCTGTCCAGGTCCTTCTAGCTTTCAAAGTCTCCATTGAGAAGTCGGGTGTTATTCTGATAGGTCTGCCTTTATAATTCACTTGGCCTTTTTTTCTTTGCTGTTCTTAATATTCTTTCTTTATTCTGTATGTTTAGTGGGTTAAATATTATGCTGCGAGGGGACTTTTTGGGGGGTCCAGTCTATTTGGTGTTCTATAGCTTGTTGTATCTTCATTGGTATGCCCTTCTTTAAGTTGGGAAAGTTTTCTTCCATGATTTTATTGAATGTATTTTCTGTACCTTTGAGTTGTTATTCTTCTCCTTCTTTTATCCCTATTATTCTTAGTTTTGGTCTTTTTATGGTGTCCTAGATTTCCTGGACATTTTGTGTTATGACGTTTTTTGGCTTTGGTGTTTTCTTTGACTGACAAATCTATTTGCTCTATTTTA